CACCCAGATCTGAAACAACAATTTGTGGATCACACAAGAGTTGCTCCGTGGGGGAATCTAACCTACACGCTGCACGTATTAAATTGTGAGCAGATTCTGCATGACAGAGTTGGAAGCCTTATTTCCTTCTTCCCTTGAAATTCCTTCCACAAATGATTTTGATCTACATGCGATGACGAAAAGTATTGTAGGAGAAATTATTCAATATCAATACCAACAATTTCTTACGTATTGTGTATTAAAGTTGGCATTTAATTTCAGTTTACACTATAACAATAGGTCACTCACTTCAACGGCTGGCCGTGACCGATTGGCTCGAATTGTACGCGTGTGTACCTATTGTATTATATTATAGCACATACGGTAACTACATATGTTGATAATTACGTATATTACACTAGCCATATGGTTTCTACTGTAACCTTCGTTGTTGAAACGAAGCGTAATATCATTTCAAGAGGTAAGCAGAGCACGGCGTGTCCATGCTTTTGTTACGATTTTTTTCTTAAAAAGCTACAATTCCAGATTACTTACATTCAAAGATAGACAGCAGCGGGACTTCAAGAAAAAAATGTACATTTAGTTAATAGAAATATGATTAGCAAAGGATTGTTTGAACCTCCGATCAGTCACCGAAAGACGAGCAGCAACGTCCTAAATTAATGATTATGTATTTCGGCTTACTTTCGTATTAATTTGACGAGGAACTCTATAGTTTCAAGCCATGCTAGAGGCTCATATTAATGAGCAGCATTCCACGATCCTCGACGCGGCGACAGTCACGCTGCTACTGAGTCGAGTTCCTCGTCAAATAATTATATGAGTAAGTCGAAAAACATAATAAATAATTCAGCAACGGCTTTTTAATTTTCGGTGACCTAACTGCAGTGCCCAAGGTGCTCGTTTCGATAGCAAACTCGTTCTTTAGAAGAGGTCTGTTAATTACAGTGGATTCCACCTGATGGCAAGAGCGATTCTATTAGTACCTAGCTTCTGCCCCCGACTTCGTATGCGCAATCCCGTTTTCTCCCGTTCCCGTAGGATTTTCAGGATTTTTTTCTGTCATACGAACCGTCCCCCGACAATAAGAAACAAAACAAAAAAAATCTGCCAAATCGATCTAGCTGTTCTCATATGGCGTGACAACGGGAAACGGGTTTTATTCTTTATATAAAGTTATAGATGAGATGACGATAGTCACATAAGTTTACCTTTTAGTTACGTGTATCAGTAATCTAGTCGTGATTATTATAAATGGGTGTGAGAGACGGTGAGATAGGTCAGTTTATAGAACGATTTAGCAATATTGTGTTAATTATGATTATGAACAACTTGGTAAGGCTTTAGTTCTTAAGTCCAAATGTAGTCGATTTGAAATTATTTGTCGGAGTTTCGGTGATTGGTGGCCAAATAGGTATATTGATTATTTACCACCGAGATAATTTTTTACACCCTGACTGATGATTCCGTTCATTATGAAGAAGTGAACGGATGCAGCGAAAAAGTATTTAAGTAAATACCTAATTCAAGCTTAGGTACAGATTTAGTCACACAAATACAGTAAAAGAAAATATCTTTATTGTGTATCAGTATTGTGAAAATAGTAATTCAAAATATGAATCCTATTGATATTAATTCAAAACTAACACAATTATCGTTGTGGAATTGCCGAAAAGACAATTTTTGTGTTACACGATTAGCATGCATTCCAATCCATACGTAAGCGCATACGTCAGGTTTGTATTGAATCGATATAAGTATTTATCGATCACTCCAATCGATTATAATATATTATCGATACCTGTCAATTTCCTTATCAGCGGTTACGTTTAAAAAATCTTTATTGCGTAATTTTCCATGTTTGTTATTGAATTGCGAACCGAATCGATTTGATTTAGTTATTATTATATCGATACGAACCTACAAACTGTTCTTTATATCAATTTGCATCGTAATGGTTGGTTGAATCATCGGTTATATGAATATTAGCCAATAATGTCCTTTTCATTATTTATGAGATCATAAATAAAATAAAATCGACTTCAAATGGTATCTGTCATGAAGACCTTTTTAAAAGACAAACTAAACTCAAGTCTTATTAGTTAATGATTTTGGGATTTTTTATTGACTGCTGTGTGATTTATAGTATTTTGTGTGTGTATAGTATTTAAGTATTTTATCTAAACACGAAATGTACTTCAAGTTCAACGAAACATCGAAGTTATTTCTTCTGAAGATTGGTCAAGCATCATTTACTTTTTTTTAATTCATTTTGGTACCCAACTATTATGTTTTGTCTTTTGCCACGTGTAGACTAAAATATATAAATTATACAATTACAAAACATACGACGCCACAAGTGGTGATTGGCAGTGCCCCTGTTAACCTTAGAGGTCGTAACACAGCCGTAGTTAATAATATAGCATGCAGAATTGCAGATACTTATATGGCAGAACAGTTAATTGATTCATAGTCAGGGAATATTTTTAGTAATTACAAGACTTGCCGTTTTATCAATATAGCCAAGACTATAAATAATATCCAGGGCTTCCATAGCCTCCTTGTTAACTAGTCTTGTTTGTAGCAGTATCCAAGTTACCAAAGAGCGAAGAAATAGAACAAGGTAGGATCCAGAATTCACACTTCCAAACTAAACTAATATTTGAAACTGAAAATGGCGGATGCTGTCAAAAAGTAATTTGGCGCCAAAGTAAAATCCATAGATAACAAAGGCATGGTTTCTGGAATAGTCTCGAACGAATGTCATCAGTCAATGCGGTCGTGTGACATCGAGGCCAAACTAACGAGGGCGCTGTGATAGCATGTGCATACCATGGAAAAGTTTACAACGAAAAATAGACAAAATGACACGTAGATTTATAGATTATTTTTGTTTGATTTCATTGCGCTTTCTATAAGGTTCTGGAAGGATGAAATGAATTAAGGAAGTAGAAATGACTGATTGTAGACAGATTATTTATTCGTTACTTTAGTTAATTGTGCTGTTGACGCAATAAATCGTTAATTCATCGACGTTCCTTTTTATAAAAAAAAACTGGTATTTACAACCTAATAATGAATCCAATCCTACTTCATGTTTAGTTTAGATTCAATAATGTTTTACCCGCCCCGCCAAAATCTCGTGTTACCATTAAGTTTATTACGTCATAGACAATGGCTCAATAAGTCAAAATTTGATTGGCAAAACATCCACAGATTATTCAAATCCATAGATTATTATCAGTATTATTTGATGATAAAGTAAGAAGTTAATGAAGCCTGTCAGGCTAACATGAACCCTCTTGGAATAAATGGTCGCCCTTGGAAATAAGAAATTGATGGCAATTGGGAAACCACTGCCTTAGTTAACATTGATAAATTAAATTACATAGTTGTTGATGAGTTATATTTGTTACTAGCTTTAGCACTCTCGTGTGGTTTCACCCGTACTGCTCGACTCCTATTGAATGTAGCATGATGTTTTATAGCCTACAGCCTTCCTTGATAAATGCACTATCCAACACAAAAAAACAAATATCCAAGTCGGACTAGTAGTTCCGGAGATTGGATCGTTCAAACAAACAAATTACCATTTAAGACTGATTATTACATTTTATTTCTATCTTATTGATGAATGAGAGAATTCCCATACACTTATGCTAAAAAATGTTCTCATATTTATTACATTGTTTTACTTCATGGCTTTAAGAAATTTATAAATTATTGCATGTGTTAGTCTGTGCTGCAGTACAGACTCCTACAACAACTACTTTTATTACAATTCACTGAAGAAATATTGCAATAATGTTGTATATTTTCAATGTTTTGACAACTGTAGGACAATGTTATTGTTGAAGTGGGCTTAGTTTACAATATCACATGTTGACACATGTCACCTACATTGTAATTAAAAATTGTTCATTCTTTCATTTTATTGAATTGAATAGGTCATAACAATAACAGTTGAATGATGAACTTTTGTTCTATATTTGAAACATGACAGATTGGAATGTGAAAATAATACACAGTGGTCTATGATTCTTGTTTTTTTTAATTGTTTCATAGTCAAAGGAGGTAATGTTGAAACTTAGAAATGGCTGGTTAAAATTAAACTTTGTTGTTTTATTTAACTTATGTAATATTTATTAGTTAGTAATTTGAAACCAAAATTGTTACCTACATAACAAATAAGAACTGCATGGTGGTAAAATCAAATTCAATGAAAGAATCAGGTCACTGTTACTCGATGCAGAGGTAACAAGCACATTTTTAGAATATTAAGGTCATATGAAAGTTAATATTATATTGTTAAACCAATTCATGTTTATCAATCTATCATGTTATTATGGAATTTCATTTTTAAATAAACAGATTATTATGAGAACAGGTAGTTTAGTTAGGTGTTGAGAAATTTAAAAAACTTTTTTAGGTCAGTGTTAAGTAAGAGTATAAAACAGTAATTATGTTTTATTACTACATTAAATTTTATTAGGAGACATACATCTTACAGATCTTTATCTGTGAATAATAAACCATAGGGCTTCATGACCTAAATATTTTTAAAACAAGGTTTACAGGAACTAGGCTGTAGACTACAAATACTGGCGACACACACGCGTTACGAGTAAAGAGTACAGGCATGATGTGTTCAGAGAAATGGGGACGTTTGCCGGCTGCTCGTCGGTGGACGAATCATAACAAAAGTGACGATTCTTGTTTTCTGTGCCACTAACATCCGATCGCATTACATAAAACACCTCCGTACTACACTCTGGTATTTGAATTAAATGCCAACTTGCACTTGCAGATCGATAAAACATCATACCACAAACGTAAATAAATCATACGGACCTCACCTCCTCATATCGATTTGGCCTGCATGTGAGCTAAGTTAATCGATGTCTGTAATTTACAACCGTATAAAAACTGTGAATATTAGCCCTAAATCATAATCTGCATTCATATCACTCCAAACTATACAGAAATATAGATTTACTTACCAAAGTACGCGGAGCTGCAACGATGTCTACACACTAATGCACTGAATTATTTATATTGCACTCTAATTAAACGGCTTACGTAAGTTATTCTAATGAAGATAAATAATTTTACTACTAAGAGATCAATAAACTATAACAGTAAACTGATTAATCTACGGAAATTGCAAGAAAATATATTATAATGTGCAATAACCTTCCGCAGTGTTTTAGTTTCGCGATGATTTTTTTCTACAGAAAAATTGTTCACTGGATTGCGCCAGATGGCACTACCTGCAGGTGCTGTTTTGACATTTCAATTTGTATGGCTGCGTTCCGTGCAATTTAATTTAATCTTATATTTCTATAAATCTCAATAACTTTCACTAAGTGCAAACAGAAAGCTATAGAATTTATATAATAACCGATAATATTTTTATTCCTATATAAAAAGAGCTCATAAACAATAGTCAATATGATTTTCATTGTTTTGATTGTTTCGTTTTAACGACTAATCAGATCGCATCAGAACACGAAGAAGAGCTTGACAGTTGACATGTGACATTTATATTTATTTGATCAGCTGAAAATTGCGCGCGTTATCGGTTGAAACAGAAATATTGTTAAATTTTAGATAAATTGCAAGTGAATATTGTTCTCAACATGGTACCAAGTGCCAGAACAGCGCGTTTAGTCAGGGAAGTGAAGAACTTTGAAACAAAACCTCCATGGGGAATAGTTTGCCATCCAAGAGAGGAAGATATTTACGATGTCTTGAATTTCTCTTTACAAGGACCTAAAGGATCGCCGTATGAGAATGGATCGTTTAAACTAACTGTTACTATCCCACAGAAGTATCCCTTCGAGCCTCCACTCGTCAAATTTACTACACCGGTGTATCATCCGAACATTGATAAAGGTAAATAAATAACCCATATCAGTTATTTATTTGAACCTGTTGTTAATAGCTAAACCTCTACTTCTTAATCACTAGATGTGACCTGTAACAACTTAATTAAAATTGATTCTCTTCATACTAAATAGAAATATGAAATCATTGTCCGTTTGTCTCATTGTCCCTAATACCAATAAGTTTTCAAGGACCCTCATTATTACTTATTAGAAATTACTTACTTGCAGGTGGTAGAATATGTATGGACATGCTAAAAATGCCCCCTAAAGGGGCTTGGCTGCCTACAATCACACTGGAGACCCTGCTGGTCTCACTGCAGACCTTACTGGCCAATCCCAACCCTGATGACCCTCTTATGATGGATGTTGCCAACGAGTATAAATACAACATAGAGAAATATATAGAAAATGCTAAGAAACACACAGAAAAATATGCTAAAGGCTAAAAATAATTAACCATATTGTTTGTTACAAGAAAAATTTCATGACAATTTTTGTCATTTGTCTAAATGTTTGTTTTATAAATTCAGTTCGACAAAAAATTGTGACAAATCCAAGCTGTCGGGAGCATCAGTTTTCTTAATATTTAAGAATTTTTATATTGATTTTCTGAACACTTAGCAAAGCTAAGGTGAATATAGTCATTACAAATTTTTGTTGGATACCTTCATCTTGTGAAGAAAAAAAAAACAAGTTGCTAGAAAAGCGATGTGTCAACATTACCATAAGTTTTATGTTTTCTAAAAATAAATCTTTGTTTACCTTAAAATAAAGGCTATTTTTGCTTGATTATACTAAGCTACTAGGGCTATCTTGTTTTGTAATATTTCTTTCTGTTTTCTTTGTGATTAAAATATTGCATTTAACTGTTACATCATGTAAATAAGAGACTGGTATTTTAATAAACATTTCTTTAATAATTTATTGTTTCATTTACATTGATTATATTATAATGCAGGTTTACAGATACAGTGTAACTAAATTAACTTGAATATAATAATGTTTAATACATATCGAGGGGTAACGGGCTATTTGGTTTAAGCGACATTTTTGCAACTTCACAGGAGAGCCTTTTAAAGTTTGAAATTTCGAAAAAAAATTCATAACAAAAACGCTTCTGCAGTTATTTGAACGGGGTAAATTGCATTGAAATTTAAATAAAAATATCTAGTTGCTGATGCTAATTCCAAATAAAGCGGGCCTTTAATTACAAAGATAAATGTCGCTTAATACAATCTGCCCTTTTTTAGAGTCAGGAAAAATGATTTAAGTGACTTCATAACTACAATTGGCTACAAGGGAAAAAAATTAAGCGACGATGCACTCTATTTACAGAGTAAGCCAAAAAGTATGAAGTAACGAAACCCAAAATAAATAGAAGCAAGCTATTTATCTCAACTACCAATTTAGACTAAAATGAGTAACAGGCTAATTTACTTATGTGACATATAACATTGAAATTGTATCGTTAAATGTTTATGTTTATTTACATCTAAGACGATTAATGGCTGATAAAACAACCTGGATATATCGAAACAACCGAAAATCTCAGGTGCTTACATCGGATAAATAAACACAACACAATATCAAAGTATTTATTTAGATTAATAATAACAGTCTGCATAGGAACAACGATTATATTATTATTTATTCAGCAAAATCAGATAAATTAATTGGTTATTTACTGAAATTGCCGTTTTGTATGAAAAAAATTAAACGATTTTTTTCATGTAGGTATTTTTTATTTGTATTTATCGAAGTAATCACCCATGTAATCAATGCATGGCTGCCAACCCAGTGGCAGTTTATTGGGCATCAAAAAACTGCCACAAAATACTTCTTAAACAAATCAGCTGGACGGGTGGCAACAAATTCTTTAAATGCATTTTGTACTGCCTCTCGGGTAGTGAATTTATTTCCCGCGAAGAAGTTATTCAAATTCTGGAAAAGAAGTAGTCTGGTGAGTAGGGTGGATATTGGAGAGCTTTCGACCCCAGTTCTTGTAACTTGGAGACCATCTTTTGTGCAGCTTTAGGTCGCGCGTTGTAATGCAGGAGCAATGGAGATGAGCGATTGACCAGTGCTGGTTGGAGATGTGTCAGCTTCTCCATCATTGTGTTCAGTTCTTCACATTACACATCCGCAGTAATGCTCACTCCGTTTGGTAAGAACCTGTGATGAATCAGACTGGCGCTAGACCATCAGTGACCATCACTTTTCTAGGAGTAAGTTTTCGTTTCGGGTATTGTTTAGGTGCTGAACTAACTACTACTACAACTATGTTGAGCAGTGCAAGGCACTGCTCGATGCATACTTAGCTCTGGCGATCATTGAGTTTGTGGGACACCCACTTGTCAAGTTTTTTTACCTTGCCAATTTGACGTAAATGGACCAATATTGTTTTGATGCTAACGTCGAAAGCTGTTGCTAAATCAGCCGTAGATTGTATGTCATCAGCTTCCACAATAGCCTATTGTCACCAAAGTCTTCGGACGACCGCGAGGTTGATCTTGAAATTAAAGTACTTAGGATTCAATTTCGATGAGCGTTTTACGTAAACACTGGCGGTGAGTGCGCGTCCCGTCTGTCTTCGACGCATTCTGGAGTGACTGAAGCGCCAGCGCACGATAGTCCAGTTGGATGATCACGATTTTTAACACCCGGGCGATGAAATAAATATAGTATCATATGACATGATTGAAATGTACCATATTAAAATTTAGTGATTTAAAGACCGATTCATATTTTTATGAATACTGGCAAAATGTTTCAATATCCATTATTAATGTTATCATCTGTATAAAACGACATGCATTTTAAAAAAAAGGAGGGCTAAATGATTTATGACTAAACAAAATATCTGAACGAAAACGACTATTTGGTTTAAGTAGCACCCTGCGTGGAAAATAAAAGCAGCTAGAAGTGTTTAAGAGACGAACCATGTCGTATTTGGGTGACGGATAAATGTTTTAAGCGACAACACACCGTGTGATTAGTGGGAAGTCAAAATGATTCAAGTTACTTGCTAGTAAAAATTAGAAACAGGAAAAACGCTTTAACTCATTTTGACTTATTAATTAGAGATAGGGTGACTGGTTTATGTCTCGGTTATTAATATGATGGTATGGTTCAAGTACATAATTTAATAAAAAATGCGAAATCCATGTCGTTTAATACACTGTCACTTTGGAAACAACACGAAAATAGAATTGTTTGAAACGCCAAAAAAGTGCTCCGATTTTAATGAAACCGGCATCAATCGACGGAGAAAAATTCGCTGATTCCGAATATATATATAACTCAATATCGCCCAAAATGTCGCTTAAACCAAATAGCCCGTTACCCCTCGATATAATTATACATTTTTCGAGGCTACTCAACTAGTTTCTAGGCATACAGGGGACCCATAAACATGAGCAGTATAAGACCAGATGAGTGTACAAGAGCCACTGGCTTACCTATACTTATGCTCTTGAGTAACAATGATCATGTATTTTGTATTATTAAAAAAAAACAGTAAAATACTTTTATGACGACTAATTCTGTACAATCTATCTTGATGGAAGACAAATGAGTCATGAAGAAGTACTATAAGTAGAATAATAAATTAATTCTATAATCTGGATTATAAAAGATTAATATTTGAGACTGATTTCTACATTCTATCTTATGATAAATGAGGTAATTCCCACACACTAATGTAAAACATGTTTTCATAGCAACAAAATTCATTCAACTAGGTATATATTTTCAAATAGTTTTGTGACTAACCCTAATGATTTTGTAACTTCAAACAAATAGTTTGTGTTAACTAAATATAATGGTTTACTCACCTAAGTCAGAATGGCTGAGCACTTTCTTTACGTGTTTTTTCGCTGTCAGTCGAGGTATTAAATATTTGAAGTTAGGTATCATATAGTAGCAAAAAGCTCTATTAGTTTCGAGTCACAGAGGGCTTATGAGAAGACTGGGCGGTCGCGGCAACTTCGCGACTAATAGACCTTAATCAGTATACTTATATGAGTAACATAACATCACGCCTTTTTATCCCCAAAGGTAGAGGCAAAGGTGCACATTACGGCACTTAATGCCACTGTATGTACAATGTAACAGCTAGTTTTGCCTATTTATGTTACAAGTCCTATGTAACAGGGGGTGAGCCTATAGCCATAAACTAGGCATAATTCCAGACACCATGCTACAACTGCGATTTTTTAAAAGTCAGCAGTCTTGAAGTGAGTAACCCGTTATTTTCATTTAATTCAGTAATTTCACAATAGTTATTATAAAAATTATGTTATATTTATCTATGCATTCATAAACTTAATTTTATACAAAGACGGTGGCAAAAAAGCACACGGCCCACCGGATGGTAAGCGGTTACCATGGCCAATGTACGCCTGCAACACTTGGGGCATTACATGCGTCTTGCCGACCCTTAAGAAACCTATTCACTCCCCTCTTGAAGAACCCCAACTTAATCATTTTACCAAAGGTTTTTAAAGCACCTGCCTTAATTTATTATAAAATGTCCCACACTAGGTTTGTCTCCTGTGTCAGGAGTTGTAAGAAGCATACACATTCTACATATAATCTACTGTATACTAAAGCTAGTATAAATGACTGCAGAACTCATAATAATTCAATTTTTTTTAGCTTATCTTTGGATGTGTATGAGTAACATAGTTAGGTGTGGCAATAAGCTAAACCTTAGACATGATTAAATAATATTTTCATAAATATTTGTACAAGAGGGTTCTTTTCAGCCTGTATCGGTACTGCTATCATCACCAGAACTTGCACTCTCTGTCTCCGAAGAACTACTATTTCTTTTCACTTTTCTACCGACAGTTTTAGGATTTTCTTCACTGGCAACACTAGTGTCCTTATTATTGTTACTCTCATCACTAGTCAAATCTTTTTTCTTTGATTTCTTGCCAGTATCACTGGTGGTAGGTTTTAGTGTTTCTGTAGAGACGGTTGCCACCATTTTCGATTCTGGTCTGGTCTCCGAAGCCTTGAAGTCTTCATCATCATCATCATCTGCTGGTCTTCTGTTGGCTATTGATGCTGCTACTGCTGACTTGTAGGCTTCAGGGTATTGTGTACTGAAAATATAACAGATTTTTTTTTTAAAGTGTAAACTAATTTAATATACTTAAAAAATTAATAAATAAAAGTAATAACTATATATTTTTTGAAATTACTGAATGTCACTTTTAAGAGTTAAAAATAAACTAAAAATTTATATCAGTCTTTCAGTAAATCTATTTGTTTGTTGTAAAGTATAAATCTGAGTTTTGTGAATAACACTTAGATTTTTTGTAAAATTATCTATGGACTATGGAATTACAGAAAACACTACCTTAGTTTAGTCTTAATAGCTCTAATCTTTTTGAATATAAACTCCAGATCCTTTCTCATCTCAAGGAGTAGTTGTGTGTGCTTCTTAAACTCGGTGGAGGCTGCTCGGAGACGGCTGGCAGACAACTGGTTGCAGTTTGTTAACATTTCCGTTGTCTTCTCAAAACGTTGCAACCTGAAATAAATGACAATGTAAATGTAAAAGGCGGGCTAATAAAGTTAATTCTAGCTTAGAATACTATTTATGTATGATGATGTGTTTGTCACGACTTTACGAAAACTACAGTACGCATTTGAATGAAATTTAACATAGATAGATAATAGTAGGAAATAACACATCGGAGGCTACTTTGTACCCCGAATACCTATGATAATGAAGGCGTTGCCACTGCTGGCAGCTGCTGGCAGAATTTTGCATTTTTTTACTTTTTATACGTTTAAAGTGGAAGCTGCCTTTCCGTACAATATAGAAGAAGCTGAATACTATGTTCCTTTCTCAAACTTACATATTTTTCTGAGCTCTAATAACGGTTTCCACATCGTTCTGGTTTACCATTCCTGCCAATCCTTGCACAAATACCTCCGGAGCCGAGTAGTTTTGAAAGCATTCTATTGAGAAATCACTTTCAGGTGTGTCGTTAGCCATTTTAACACAGTTTTTGTTATAATTTTCTTATACGAAATCTGAAAGTAAATAAAAATCGATATTCAATACATAAAACATTTGTCACCTTGACAGTTTGACAAATAAATACAAAAATTACAGATTTGACATTAATACGACCACGAACAATGAAGCAAGTCTGACCATAGAGTTTACAGAATATACCGCGGTATGAAAGAGAAACAACGAAAGTTGGCGTGTGAAAAGCTGTCGTACTCATTCGTAACCATAGTTATGGTACAAAAAACCAATGAATTTATCATAGGTAAAAAATTAATTTAATTATTATTTTTCTTACCTCCACAAATATATTTTCCGATAAACTGAGTGTAGTCTGCACAGAGCATGTAATTATAAAAGGCGGAGCAGGTAAATTTATAAAAAAATAAGTCTACTACTTCAAAAGTATTAACTACCTCCTATTATTATTTAAAAAATTTAAGCAATTTTTATTACGTCTGGTTACACACACACATAAATACCCGTTGCTATTTTTGGAACTGATGCCTGATCCTTGAATTTGTAGCTTACATAATATGATTCAGTAGCGCTCAGAACCTACCTACTGAGTAAAATGGAATTGTAGTATTGTGATAAAAAACCGACAGATGGCATTACGTTACTTATTTATTTGAGAAATACCTATCCTGAATTTCTGTTCGTTAGTCTCGCTAAAACTCGAAAACAACTGGACCGATTTGGTTAATTTTGGTCTTGAATTACCTTTGTGGAAGTCCAGGGAAGGTTTAAGACATGAGAAAAAAAATATGCCGTAGGTACGAAGTTTGCCGGCTATTACTTACACATAGAATTGTACCAATCTAGGCTAGGTACCTACAACACTTCTGTAAGATGGAGAAGGCAGATGAATCTGGACTCCCGTGGGTGCGAGGAGACATTGGGGTGGTTTTAGCCGGTAAGAGTCCGGCACACCCCTCCGCCTTTCCCCAGGCGGAGGCAGTCCATGAGGATTTCCCCTCATAAAAAAAGGCATAGGAGAACACTTGCGATGTGTTTTGTTGTGACGTTACTGGAAGCCAAATCTCCGCAATCCCAAAAATCCTCAAATTCCTAATTCCCAAAAAGCCGATAACGCACTTGTAACGGGTCTAGTGTTTCAGGTGTCCATGGGCGGCGCCCATTGCTTACCATCAGGTGGTCCGTCTAGTCGTTTACCAGCTTAACCCATAAAAAATCTCAATGGATCCCTGACTATCGGTATTTTGGACTCCTCCCAATAAAGGTGTGGGACTGATTATTACAATTTTTAATGCTTTTTATTCTTAAACTGGAATTGTTTTAGGAAGTATTTGTATTGCTTATACATATAGGTAGGTATATATTATAATAATGGTCGCATGGAGACGCTGGGTTGCAGCCATCCCTTAGCGACTATGCTCTACGATAGTAATTACCATCTACGATATGAGTGTGTCGTGTCATGGAAATCATATAACAAAAATTAGGTACTAAATTAAATATTTTATGACATTTGAATTTAAGATATGTAGCTATTTAGGAGGCCAACAGCTGGTGTAGTCCTATCAATGCATGTCCTCCTGAGGTGAAGGTTTTCCAAACACATACCTACCAACAAAACATGCTGTACATATATCTTCGATCGCTACACAGACAGTTTTATTCAAAATGCAAACTTTTTGATACCATAGACATATTTAGGAATACAAATAAAACTCACTAAGCGCTAATCTCTAAGTTTGGTATAATTTAATTAATTTAAGGAGCATTAGGACTGACTTGACCTAAGCCTTGAACTTCTAAGTGGAATGGAACTCCTACTTCTTGATCAAAGTTGCGACGGTAATGTAAGTTTCTATTTCTTTCTTCTGCTTCTTCTGCTAATCTGTCTTCCCTTCTTTTTATCTGTTGTTTCGACGTAGGCAAATAAAAATTCAGTAACTGCATAATATTGAATGGTTTTACGTTTGGTTTCGAAATTTCGTTAAGCAACCACTTTGGTACATACACATTGTTATTGTCTTCGTTATGTGCCAAAATTTGGTATTTACCTTTCTTCGCATTGTTCCCACCGTCGTTTAGTTGTCTTTTAACATTGACATATCCGTCGAACTCATTGTCCTGTCCTTTATTGTTCGCCGAGATTAACTCCTTGATCTGTGTTGCTAAAACGTCCCCATTGTCTACTCGAGTTAAATCAAACACAAGAGCTTCTACATTTGATTTTTTAATGTTCTCTTGTCCATTTAGGAGATTTTCTAAATCAACATTTTCGAGCAAAGCTGGACGTTTCAAATTAGATTGTTGCCGCAAATTAGGCGAGTTACTGTTTGATAATAAACGCTCGACGTCCGACATTCCCAGGACTACAGCATCTAAATCGTCACTTAGTTTTATTTTTTTCTTTAACAGATTCGAGTCCAGATTAAGACCGTCGACTTCACGCAATAATTCTAGATTATCTCTATTATCATCTTTGTAGTCATCATTTCGATTGTTCCTGTCTCTTCCACATTTGTTTCCTGCGCAGCGTAACTCACTTACAAAGTTTCCACCGTCAGCAATGTTTTTCTGTAAATCATTTAGGAAGGCGACGATGTCTTCATTATTTTTTTCGTTCTCTCTTGCTTTGTACACTTTTAAATTATTTGAATCAAGTGATACGAGGAGTAAGCGATCTAGCACATCGTTTGCATCAGATTTGTGCTGTAATTTATCACCGTTACTTTGAAAAGCATTGTTAAGAACTTCTAAGTTGTTGTACGGTCGACGGTTATAGGCCTCCTCTTCGACGGAATCGTAGTACTGTGTAGCATATTGATTTTCTTTTTTGTTGTAGTTGCCGCGATGTTTGCCGTCGTTAGATATATGAGCCGTGACTTCATGATGGTTCTTGGGTCCATCATCGTGATTACTTAGTGCAATATCGTATTTACCTTGATTGGCTAAAAGCTGCAGTATTTTTTGGAGTCCAAATTCACTTGGTACGTAAGCTTCTGGGTCGTCTGCTGCCAGTTTTGCGTTTACGACAGTGACTATTCCAAATATAATGAAGTATGAGATCTTAGCAGCCATTGTTGATTTAAATATTCTATTGTAACATAATATTTCCTACTAAAGTTTATAATTATTGTAAACTCTCAATGGGTTTCGGTAATAGCGAATTATAATTGATTGGGCAGCTAGCTGAAGGTATCGATAGAGGCGATTAATTGAGCGTGAGATTAAAAACCTCTTAAATATTGTGTTACTGTGAGCTGGAATGAGTTTTGTTCGGTATTTACTGGTTGCATGTAAACATTGTACCTACACTTGTCATTATACTTACTACCTATGTAGTAATGTATATGTATTTATAATGTCAATTTAAATTAAGAATACTTTCAATATATTTATTCTACGAATTAAGCTGGAATTTCCTTTGTAATAGACGATCTATTTCGTTCATTGTAGAAGCTTTGTTGCTACTTTGTTTTAACTTGTGATTTGCACTATTTCATAAAATATGCGTTTTATTAAGTTTCGTGAAGTAGTATCATCATTACATTATTTTTATATCGGTCATCTCCAGAAGCGAATTAAAGCAAGAGAGCGCACTATTGAAGCACCTGAAAAGCGCCCTTATGTTCCCGTCACTCTATATGCAGGCGCATCTGGCGGCGTCACGGCGTCCCTGTTTAACCTGGCGCTCTAGGCACGGCTCTGGTCATTTGAGTTGATTTAAGTCTAGGTATGGTGTGGTGGCCCAGGGGTTAAGACGCCCGCATCTCATGCATGAGGATGCGGGTTCGAAACTAGTGAGGAAACCTGGGCTTATAATTTCTAATTATAAGTTTGTTATCGCCAACCCGCATTGAGCAAGCGTGGTGATTAGTGCTCAAACCTTCTCGGTGTGAGAAGAGGCTTTACTCAGCAGTGGGCACTTATAGGCTGTTGATGAAGTCTAGATACATGGTGTTGATCATAAACTATGATGTTTTTCGCTCATCAATAAGGTAGATTTACCTATTATTGGACATTCTTAGAAGATTTTCTTGTTACGTTCTTAAAAAAAAATTGCAAATATAATCACTATTCGTGGGAAGACTGCGTATAATACTTAATTAAAACACATCGATTAAATTTGAATTCATAATACGATCATAATTATAATGAATTATACTCAAATGCTTGTTATGGTTATAGCTAATCACATTGAACATAGTTTTACATAACATAATATCACGCCTTTTATCTCCGAAGGGGATAGGGGGAAGGGGATCTCCAGAGGTGCACACAGAAGTAACACCCACTTTTCACTATTTATGTTATAAGTCCCATGTGAGCCTATTGCCATATACCGGGCGCATTTCCAGACTGTCCGCTACAGATGTGACTACTGCTTTTTGGAAGCTATCACAGCCGTGGTTCATTGTGCCTAAAATCATTAAATTCTGTCCCGGGGTCGATGCGGCCCATTCGTTTTCGCGAAGCATGGCTCTTCTATACTTATTCAAGAGCACAATACAATTTGCGATACCGCATGGTTAACATCTCTGAATTCATTGATGCCGCGTAGACCACCAGTGACCCACGTAGTAGTGTGGTAGCCAACATTTTCACGGCGTGGCTACTAATATAAGGTGGTATAATTTGTAAAACTAATTATTATAACTTATAATTAATTCTTAATGTTTTGTAAACGTCGTAGTGGCCTGGAGGTTGACGCCCGCGTCTCATGCTTTTTCCGAGTTATATGTACGTTCTAAGATTATTTAGATACCACTGTCTGACGGTGGAGGAAAACATTGTGAGGAAATCTGGACTTTTCAAATTCCTAATTATAAGTTTGAAATCGCAAAACCGGATTGAGCAGGCGTGGTGATTAAAACTCAAACCTTTGCCGTGTAAAAACAGGCTTTTGGTCAGCAGTGGCCACTTATAGGCTGTTGATGTGATGTGAATGTTTTGTAATATAACTACACTTGTATTGAAATTAACTGTTGATATACTTAATTTGTTTATGAAATAGGAGGTAAACGAGCAAACGGATCACCTGATGGTAAGCGATCGGCGCTACCAGTGGACATATGCAACACCAGAAGAGTCACAGGTGCGTTACCAAATAAAACAAACTATTTTCTTACATTGTGTATATGTATACCTTCTAGGCTTCATAGGTACCAAAATATCTTCCTTTATCTATACCGACACTGGTAACTTAGGTGCACGAGCAATGTTTCACATTGCCGTGTCTATCAATGCTGTTGCATTTATCACCAGAGCAACTAGTAGGTTCCCCAGGGTAGTCACGGCTAAAGCTCTTGTCGGCAAGTTTCTCATACTCAGTAATCTTACTATCAACACCAATTAACAATCGAATTATATTGTCAATATCATCGTGAATATTTGGTTTTCTTTGTCTCTTGAATTCCTTGTCATCATAGTAGGAGCCATCACATTCGTCGTCTGCTGCACCCGGTGGCTTTGGAGTATTACATTCCGTATTCTGACATGTGTACTCCTTGGGTTTTTTACGACACATTCTAAGCTTTGGTTTAGGCCACATTTCATTGTTTGGGGGATACATTTTAGAAGGAACCTTCCCAGAATGTGACATGCCTATCAACATATCGAATGCTTGTAAAGCGCTAGTTACCTTTTTATTACTATCAGCTAGTACTCCATCTTGTTTTCTTTTAGTATTTTCGCGATTCGATTCTTGGTAATTGTTTATATTATTGTCTATGTGTTTGAAGTTGGGCTCATATTTAATTCGTTGCTTTGATAGCGTTTGTACCAATGTTCCCAATCCGTTCTCGTATAAATTGTAGGCGCCGTTTGACAGGGTTAATGTTGAAAGCACGTAACACAAGATGGTCAGTCCCATCTCGAACTTCTTGTAAAGATATTACTGTCCATGCTTGATTTTATGCGTTTAAAGAAGCTAATCGAATTTTCTGACAAAAATTATCTTTGGGGAATATAATTGATTGTCTCCGACTCAACGTTATAATATGAATTTATTATGAGGTGGAGACTTAAATTGGAAAACATTTAACGAAGGAATATTTGCGCAGTTTAATTGGTATGGCCGCGACATTAAATCGACTTCGTCCGAGACTCATTTACAACTTTTTTTTTTAACGTCTAGATTTTTAAAGTAATCATCTATGTCCTGCCCCTTGGTTGACTATGTTTTCAATGGCGTTTTGACATTTAGAATCTGCAAAGAAAACCGTGGCCTGAATCTTTACCAGATCAGGCTGAATGTGTAGATGGAGCAAAGTATTCGTCTCAAAAAGTAATTGTTACCTACGGTTTTGGCTCTAAAACTCGAAAACTTTGTAGCTTCCTAACTAGTCCTTACTATTTTCATATATACCTAGTAAAAATAGTTGGGTACAAATAGACATATTTAACCATAAATCGTTCCGTTTCAACGAGAAAGACAAACAGACTTTCATTAAGAATATAAGTAGGTATGCAGGTAGGTAGGTATTATATCTGTACACTGCCTATGACACTTTTGCAGTCAAGCTGGTTCCATTCGACAAAATAATACACATTGGCTTAAATAGTAAAATAAAAATGTTTATTGGTTTTGGTAACTTAGTATGTATGCACCTGTTGACAAAACGATAGCAACTTAGTTACACGTTTATCTTCTGTCAATTCTGTTTTATGAGCAGCGGGCATATTCCTCAGCAGTGCCGTCTTTATTTCCAATCGGAACACCAAGTTTTTCATATCTTGTAAACTTATTATCATTATTATCAACTCGAGTGAACAGTCGAAATATTTCATCTATGCCATCGTGTTTGGGGTGTCTCATCCTCTTGAACTCCTTGCCATCATAGTAATATCCATCGCAATCATCATCAGCTTTACCATTAGGTCTCTTTGTAGTGAATTCTGCGGGCTTACACTTATACTCTTTGGGTTTCTTACGACCCATTTTAAGGTTTGGCTTAGGCATTACATTGTTTAGAGTAAAAACTCTTAAAGGAACCCTTTCCACTCCTGTCACCAGATTAAATGCTTGTAACAGTTTTGTTACCTTATTGGTCGCCTTAAAATCATCAGTTGGAATTTCATTCTCCTGTTCTATGTAATTATCCTCTGGGTTTGTTCTTTGGTGCTTTTTTGATTTGACATTATGGTTTATGTTTTTAAAGTTGAGGCCATATTTAGTCCGTTGTTTTGATAGTGTTGGTATCAATGTTTTTATTCTTTCCTCGTAGTAGTCGTGGAAGCTGGATGTCAGGGTTAATGTGGATAGTACGTAACACAAGATTGTTGGCCCCATCGTTGTGTGCTTATGCAAATTTTTCTTTTAAGTACTGTCCATGCTTGATTATCATCTATTACGTAAAGGTAATCAAATTATCTAGCTATATCATTGACATTATAATTGATTGTCTTCGCTGTTAATTTAAATTATTATAGTTACAAAATTGGTTATCATAATATGGAGATTTCAATAAGAAACATTGATAATTTAAAACTTACAATATTCGAAATGGATGAGAAAAGTGTTAAGACCCAAACTCTACCCGATTTATAAGCCCAATATGATTTAAAAACTTTTGGTCTAGGGTTTTAAAAATTATAATAAATGTTGTCTCAAGGTTATTGATATGCTTATCCACATTTTGTACACAAAATACATTTTATTAATAAAGAATTTCCTTCTTGGTCGTCGTCTTTGCCTGTCTGGGTCGTAGCCACCAGATTCAGGAGATCTTTAGTTTACATAGAAGGAAATATTCCTCTTTATGGAAATGTTGTGCTCTTTAGAGGTTCTACTTGTAAACAAATTAATGAAATATTTTTATAATAACTATCGTGAGACATACTAAATTAAGTAAAAACGCGGGTTACTCACGTGAATATACTGAGAAAAGCTCTACTAGTTTCGAACCACAGAGGGGTTCTTCCTCATGAGCAGCGTGCGCGGTCGCGGCGACGTCGCGCAGCACACAGTGAGCTGCGCGACGTCAGAAACTAGTAGAGCTTTTCTCAGTATATTCACGTGAGTAACCCGCGTTTTTACTTAATTTAATGAAATATTTTTAATTTAAAACATTTTAATAGGTTGAAATTCAATATTACATTTCTGACTTAAACAAAATGTCAATGTTAGTAACTTAGAACTACAGTTAGGAATTACTTTATTGAACTTGGATTACTCGGGCTTTAAGTGACTCATTATTTTTTTAACTTCTTTCATAATCTTCTTTCTTTCCTTCAATAGCATTTGCACTTCTTCATCTTCTAATATAGTATTTGCTCTCAAATTTTTAGCAAGTACATTTGTTAGAAGCGTATCCACGTCACTAAGTAATTCGTCGTCTTTTACAATAGCGTTTAAGTGATTGGAGTCACCTTCGTTATCGTTTCTGTCACGGCTGCATCTGTTTTCAGAACAACGAACAGCTTCAATGTCGTAATTTACATCATCTGTGTCCCTATTGCATCTGTTGCCATTGCATCGTAAACCTTCCAATTTTATTCTATTATCATTATCGCTGTCATCATCATCTCTATCTCGCGCGCATCTGTTACCAATACAGCGCAAGCCGTTGCTATCATCAGTGTAAGTACACAAATTTCCTCTGCAACGTAAATTATTTAATCCTAGTTCCGATATTGTAAGAGCAACCTTCGGATCCATACGAGCGTCATCATCATAGTCGTCACTACTACTATCACTATCACTATCAGAATCAGTATCAGTATCAGTATCAGAATCAGTATTAGAATCAGTATCAGAATCAGAATCAGTATCAGAATCAGAATCAGAATCCGAACCAGAATCAGAATCGGAATCAGTATCAGAATCCATATTGCGATTACATTTATTTCCAACACAACGTAATGATTCAGAGAAATCATCTGTCATGCATCTATCTCTAATACAACGTAAGCTATCAATGCTGTCTCTATCATTGTGGTCAAATTTGCTACATCTATTTCCGATGCAACGTAGTATATTTGTTTCATATGCATTATTATTGACGCGGGGTAATCTACTCCTACCGCAGCTTGCTCCACTACAACGCAATATATTTTTATTTCCATCGTCACCGTCATATCTATTGTATTCATCATCGTCATTATAATATACGTCATTTGCTCTACTACATCTATCTCCTATACACCGAAGATGTTGGTTATAATTGGCGTTGTTCCGTTCATCGTTGTCATTAGAAGTATCCATATTATCTCTGTTGTTGTCATTATTATTGTGTTCAAGTTTATTGTCATAGTCATTATCGTTAGTTAAGCCCAGTTCCTTATCCAGTTTGTTTAGAAATTTCACAACTTCGTCAGAGTTATCATTGAATGTTCTAATACTTGTTTCATTGCTGGGGGCCCATATTAATTCTGTGCATGTTCCAAGTTTCTTCATACAGTTTTTCTTTGAACCATTACCATCGTTCTTTTCCTCGGTTCTCATACCCAGTGATTTGCCTAAGTGGTAGAGAAAATCGTAGAGACTTGTCTTTTCAAGAGCTGGCTTATTGTTATTTGGTTGCCTCTCATTATAACCCTGATTCGTATTTGCGTACCGATTTTTTCCATCGTAATTATCATGTTTTCCTTTTGTTTGACCGGAATAAGATATTTGTGCGACATCTTCGTGGTGGTTTCCTGGCCGATCTTCATGGTGACTGATCTTCACATTGTAGTTGCCTAGTTTGTTAAAAATTTGCATTAAATCTTTAAGATTATATTGGACTTCACTTCGGGTTAAATCTTTAAACAGTGGGCTCCCATTTACAAGTATTATTATACCGAAAAGAACAAAACATGAGATCGCAGACGCCATTGCTCACCGAATTCAAATGATAGCAGTTTGTTTGTATCGTTTGATTACAGAGCAAGATAATTGATTAAGAAATTAGTTAAAGTTGATTACATTTACTGTTTATAAAAGCATGAAATTGTACATTAAAAAGGTAACGGTATCCCTGTAACTCGTCTTCTGAAATTTTAATTATTAAACTTTTAATTATTTATTTATTTGTTCATAACTTTATGAGTTCCCTAATTGTTTACATGACACGAGAACCCATCTAGTTAGTTGATAGATTTGTGATTTTTTTATTTTTATGTCCATCTTTGAATTAACACATACGTAGGTACTTAGTCGTTGCATTTTAGTACAGGGTTCTAAACAAATTAAGTGAAACGTAATTCAGATTCAAATTGTTGAGAAGTCTAGAATAGAAACCTTAACTCATGAGGTAAAATAGACACAGTCGGCACTGAACAGAGAGCAATTGAGCATACAGTAACTGAGAAAACAGTGTACCTTTTGCGATTTCAGTCTTAGTAATAATTTTCAAAATAGTGGTATAGCATTTTAGGGAAAGCATTGTAGATGAACCATTATTTTACTACATAGATCAAAGGCTTCTGATGCCAAGGGACACGGATTTTTAATTAAAATAATAATACATCGTATTTCTAAGTCTGAATCGTTTATTATTTTCAATCAAATTAGACCTAGTATTGCGTTTGCTACGAGAATAGATAAACTATATGTATGTATGAAACGTGAGCGAAGTTCGTCGTGTTTAGAAGACTCAGTTATATGACATCATGAAGACCATTGCGGGTAGTATTTTGATTCAGAAGATCAAGCTCAGTGTTGTGCTGTTGGATGGGCTGTTGTCCGTAGTTGATAGAAACCGACTGATGATTGTAGTGATCTTCATGATGGCATTAAAATAATTGGCATAATTTAGTAAATGTTACAAGGACGAACCTTGTGACAGCAATCGTTTTATTTCTTTCACCAAATCATATTTATCGTTACGTTTTTCTATATCGTTCAGTATAAAATCAATGTTGTTTTTCTTGTTATTCAGTTGATTCTCTAAGACCATAGTTTTAAGGGATTTACCTGGACTCAAATTATTAGTACGGGTGCTGTCGCTATATAACAAACGTTGTAAATCATCCGCGTCAAGAATAACAGCATCGACATTATCACTTAATTTTACACGTTTGGGCTGCCATTGCGTTTCATCATTGTTCTCGTTGTGTCTGGCAACAGAACAAGGTTTTCCACGACACCTCATGACATTGGTGTCATCTCTGTTTCTACCACATCGATTTCCGGCACACCGCAGGTTGTCCCGGGCATCTTGGTCGTTATCACCCCCTAAACTGCATCTATTTCCGTTGCAGCGAAGCAATTCGTCACCATTTCTATTACATTGGTTACAAGGTGCATCGTCCCTCGAGGTGCCGCATGCAGCGCACCGCAGACTGTCTCCCTCGTCGCTGTCAGTACTGCATCTGTTTCCGGCACATCTTACCATTATGTAGGAGTCATCGCTATCTCCGTCTTGGCCACACCTGTTGCCTGCACACCGCAATTCGGTTTTATCTTCATCGTTTTCAGCATTATCATTATTTAAGTATCCTAAAACACGGCTTTGGAGTTGCAGTAGTGGTAGATTTTTACACTTTGTTACATCAGTGCATCCTGGTAGTTTTTCAATCAATATGTCGCCCTCTTGTGCTTGTGGCACCTTATCTGCCTTTGTGTGTAAATTGTAAATACTCTGCACGTCACTAGGGGTAAGTTGGGTCTCTTCACTTTCATCTAATGCTGAGGCATCGTGCGGTGAGATGCGAGCCTTATCCTCATGATGACTTTTAGGGCTGTCTTCGTGGTGACTGATTGCGATGTCGAATTTACCACTCTGTTGGGTCAATGCTTTCAGCAAACCCTCGATTCCATATAAGCTGTTGTCAACCGGCTTCCCGATGGTGCAAGAAATTAGGCCGAATAGGAATAAGTATGAGATCGCAACCGCCATTGCTCACAGTTCGCTTGATACCAAGCTATGTTTTACTCACAGTGCTAATGAAAGCAACTTCACGGTACCTTTAGATTATAAGGGAGTAAAATTGATTTCGAAACTAGTTTTGAAGATGGAACTATCAAAATATAATTCAGCGTGTGATTGGAAATTTCAAGTGTATGAAAGTGATGTGTGTGATGGTTTAACGAAGTTTAAAGGTAAGTAGTAGCTAGCGTGTGATCATAAGCATGTTGTACAAGCCCTCTCTACAATGTAAATTAGTCATTGGAGCAAGACAATGCCAGTATGAAGTCAATATAAAAATGAATGAAAACGAAAAAAGGGTTTCTCTTAATGTATTACTCCAGAGTCCAGTGTACACTAATGATTAGAATATCTACTTTGGAAGGTGCTAAAAAGTAGGTTCACCAGCTAAATGACCAACGCCCCAATTTGACCAAAGGTTAATTTAAACAGTTTTCACAATCGGCGCCTCTCCTGGGGTGTCCATGAGCATCCATGGAGTAGCAAGAAATATTAGGATCTGTCCAATCCAAACTACATACGAACTCATACATCTTAACAGCACCGTCACAGAATGGATTGGACAGAATGGACTGAAAAGCACCTATTTCAGCAACATTTACGTTCAATTCTTGAATTAATATTTCTCTCTCTCTTTTATATCGGACACATTCCAGTAACAAGTGAACGACATCTTCAATTACTCCGCATGCATCACAGTTCGGATTGCTTGTTTTCCTCATTAGGAAACCGAAGTTGCTGAGAGGAATGTGTCCAGAACTTAATCTATGCGCAGCTTTCGTATTACTTGTTCTCCTCGTCCTCGTCGTGTCCTCGTATTCCTTGGTTTGCTGACATTAGAATAAGTACTTCACTATATACTGCACGGTTGGTGCGGTGGCTGGGCAACTGGCTGCCGTGCAACGTGTTCGATTCCCGCACGAGACAACACTTTGTGTGATCCACAAATTGTTGTTTCGGGTCTGGGTGTCATTGTGTATGTGAACTTGTATGTTTGTAAACGCACCCACGATACAGGAGAAAATCCTAGTGTGGGGCAACGTTTTATTAAGAAGTAAGAAGAAGATATAATATATTATATTTTATAGGGAGCGGTGACACAGCTAGCTCCCGTTTTCTTTTCTCTCTTCCCGTTAACTTTCGTTTTTATCTATGTAGTTTCCTCGTATTTGACTCATCGCCTCCTTATTTGACAAAATAAAAAAAATCGTGTCTAATATTTTTTCACAATAACTTGTTGACTTGACCACGACTACGTGACCCCCTCCTGGTGCCAAAACTAGATCCGCAATGAATTACAAGTGCTTTGCCTTTTAGATTTGAGGTAATGAAACATTAAATAAAAAGATGAGTGGTAGTTAAGTAACATATTATATTTCATATATTGTATTAAAGACAAAATAATGAGTAACCATATATTTTATGTAAACTACATTTTATTAAGTTCTTGTACTAGGCGTACTCTTAAGCACACTTTATCCATTTCACAAAGTCAGGACATTATCGATACTTGTAAAGATGATGACTATGATTACAACAGTTTTTGTAATTTTTTAACCAAAGCGTTTCCATCTTTGGCCTGTTCTACGTAAACAATAGAATCACTATTATAGTTCTTGTTATTGTTGTTGCCCTTGTGTAGTCTCCCTACTTCAACATTATCTAGTACCTTACCTCTTTTTTCTTTCTTATTATTAAAATTTAAATTAGATACTAGTCGCTCAAATGTGTCTGTGTCAAGCATTATTGCATCTGCGTTCTCACTTAATTGAATTATTTTTGGCATCCGTTGCTTTTGATGATTCTGATGATTACTATTGCGATCTGCATTTTGGACACCTCTAGTTTGATCATCCTTTCCGAAATTCTTATCAAGTTCGCTCAGAAAGTCTAAAACATTATTGATGTGGGCCTCAACTCGGTTTCTTTTAAGCAAGTGTTTTGTGTCCTTACACCTCGCTGCTGAAGTACAATCTCTCAGTGTGGTCTGCACTGGTACTAGAAGGTTGATGTTGGATAACGCCCCTTTCTGCATTGTCTGAATATTGTAAATACTCTGCAGGAGACTGGCAGCTGCTTTGTAATCGTCGTTATCATATCGGTCGTTTTTTTGTACGTTCTCAGCGTGTGAAGTCATGCGAGCCTTGCCCTTATGTTGGCTCTTGGGATTGTCCTGGTGACTGAATTTGATCCCAAAGTTACCATTCTGATGGGCCAGTCCTGCAAATAAGTCCACGATTCCGTTTTGGCTGTCGTCAGCCTGCTTCCCTCTGATGCAAGATATGAGCCCGAATATAAGTAAGTATGAGATCACAAGCGCCATTTCTTACAGTTCGCTTAATACCATGCTCTGTTCTACACAAGAAGATAATGCAAGTAACTTCACGGTACCTTTACATTATAAGGAAGTATAATCGATTTTGAAATTAGTTCAAAAGATGGAACTATCAAGGTATAATGAATTTAAGGCATGTGATTGGTTTACGGCAAATGACAATGACATGTGATGAGTTTAACGAAGTTAATTAGTTACTTTGATGTACGATCAGGAGCCTTCTGCCTGTGTTGATGCCATGTAGAACTTACCTTAGAACGCATCGCTTTGTCTGAACATACTTACTATCTTTTATAATAGTAAAAAGATAACAGCAGTAGCCTACAAACTTTCAACTACATCAAGAGGCTTTATATTATTCGTCTAGTATTGTCATTAGTTAGATTAGATCTTTTAATTGACTTAAAAAAAAGGAGGTTCTCAATTCGAATGTATTTTTTTTTTGTTTTTGAACTTATTAGTTAGTTGTTTCTTCAATCTTAAGTACCTAGTTTAAAAAAGTAGAGTTATTATTATGCCATTGAAACTGATTCGTGACTGCGGTCAGCTCCCAAAACAAACGCATTACCATAATTCAATTGTTTATTTACAATAAGAAATAATTATAAATGAATTTACAACTTGGCAAAATAGAGTTTGGAATAATTGAGGTCGCTAGTATCGTACCTGTGGCAACCTGATACACTACGACTCAACCGGTTTTAATATTTTTATCGAATTTCAGAAGAGGAATTAACATGTTCGGGTGATTGTTTATCTTTTTTTTGCCCCACACTAGGATTTTCTCCTGTGTCGTGCGTTTATTCATTGTCCGAAGTGGGTGATTCAGTCCAAATCAATATTGGTTCCAACTGTCACCGCGTCAAACTCTTTTTTGCCAAGCTGTACTTATTCCAAGGGAGGTTTCAGATATCCATCGACTTTCATCACTATTGGGAAACCGTATTGCGATAACACATATTGGTCAGCATTCCTTCTTAACCTCTTGTGAGCAGTGGGAGCGACATCACGGCGCCTTCGGTTAGGCGGTTCTACATTATGTTCAAAACCTTTCAAACTTTCAACAAAGTCTGATACCGTCCCGCCTTCATTGCTATCCATTCTGTCATCGTATGCAAAACCCCCATTAGATTTTCGCGTTAAGAATGTCTCTTCTATATTTGCTTCTGGGTTTTTTTGCTTGAGTACATCAATATCCTGAGGTTTATCGACGTTGAAACTTCTTCTGAAGTCCTCGTCTGATTCTATGTCGTCATCATTGTCATCGATTAGGGGAGCATCTCGGAAGGCAGGGTGTGCTTGCATCATGCCTGTTAAGTCGAATCTGTCATTGGTATCAGTAAAGCTTACATCTGGCTTGAGGTCGAACTGCGCAAGGACGGTCGGAGTCAGGAGAATAATACCAATTAGATTTCCAATCTGGAAGGAAAATTTGAAGTTATTTACTAAGATTATACTAAGTGTATGGAGTATCTAGATTATAACGTGTTTTTGTAGATTGTTTTCTGACGATAATCGTTTATGGTTCTTCATCTTTAACCTTTTGAGCGCCAACGACATAGACAATACATGATAGAAAAAGCGGAATTGGAAACTATTTCTTTCGTAGAATTTTGCGTGGAATTTGTGGCTTGGCGTTGAGGGCAGGAGATCAGTGTGTCTAAATACCATTTTAAATGTTCTAAAAAGATACATGTATTCATTATCAGTATTAACAATTACATCTTACCATTTCTATTGATTTTAATCCATCCCCCTTGCTATTGAATACAAACTGTGTTCATAGGCATTCACATTCAATTTTATGCATCTGATTTCAATTAATTTTTGAGATGACTTATTTAGTACCTATAGTGTAGTTCTGTATAGTTTTCTAAGTTGGACTTGAAGAGTATTTTGGTATTCTCCACAGCAATTTGGGAATCGTTCAAACAACAGTTCAGAAATCATACGATAAAGGATAAAATTATTTAACCGGCTAGCAGGAGGTTGCTCAGCTATTGTGTAGTCAGTTGGAAGGAGGAATCTCTATACTATGACATTCCTTGTTCACTAAAAGCAGTGTCTTATTAATAGATATGGGTCATTTAAGATTGATTTTTGTTATAGGCATCTGTGTTCTTGTAACATATTACGCGATTTGTGTTTATAAACTAATCAGTACAAACAGAAATCAGATAAGTGTATAGTCAACAAGATTCATGATTTTGATTCCTTTATTAAAAAAAACTCGTTAAAATCAGTATGAAATTGTTGTTAATTGATTTTGTAGGCATTTTATTGTTAATTCTCGATCTGGAATTTAGTTTATCTAGAAACAAAGTTTTGGTAGGTATTACTTTACGTTTAACATTATTACAAACATGTGTTACACATTTAGGTAAGTGCTTAAACAATAAAAGTCGTATTACAAAACGTACCTAACGTTTAACACTAACGCACTCTGCAAACTCGCGGTTGGCGGTAAAAAAATGCAAATGGCCGCGATTCGTGACGTCACGTAGGTGCCGCATGGCGGCAAGCGCGTGTGCCCGCTTGATGGCGTTTTAATTACACGACATTGGTGTTTTATTGGCGAACACTGCTGATTTCCATGCTGATCGTACACTCAGAAAAATGTAATGCAAGAGGGAAATAGTTCAGATAAAATATGAGTCAGAAATTTGTAATGGCAGTTAGGTATGTCTTTGATTTATGCTGTCGTTTGTTTTATAGAAAAGACAAATAGCGCAACGCCTTTTATTTGTTAAATCATATTAATGTAACTTTATTCCCTTCTTCTAATCCCTAGGTAATAGTATCAGTAGTTTAATGACTAACTGAGAAGAGTATCAAGCGTAACAATAGTTAAGTTTAACTACCTCTAGAGTAAACATTTTAATGTAAATGTATTGATACGGACAGTTCTAACTTTTAACTGTTGCAAACAAATGTGTTCCCTCAACTCACTAAGCCGGTAAACGAGCAGACGGATCACCTGATGGTAAGCAATCGGCGTCGCCAGTGGACACCTGGAACACCAGAGGCGTTACAAGTGTGTTACCGGCCTTTTGGGGATTAGGAGTTTGAGGGTCGTTGGGGATTCAGGAATTGAGGAACAGGGTAATTACCTTCCCCAATCTTCTCTCCAAGGGCCTCCGGTAACCTCACTTACACGACGAAACACAACGCAAGCGTTGCTTCACGTCGGTTTTCTGTGAGGCCGTGGTATCACTCCGGTCGAGCCGACCTATTCGTGCCGAAGCATGGCTCTCCCACACTTAAATCAATAATGTAAATAGAAATTCATGAAATCCAAATCAGGCAGATAGAAAATTCAGAAACAAATCGTTGTTTTCTTGTTACTCCATTAATAACAAAACTTTCAATCAGCTTTCAACCCAAGCATGATGACAAATCGCTGTAAAATTATAGACTAGAAAAAATTACAATCAATTTTTAATGGCGACATAAAAAAGGCGGGAACCACAGACAATCGTAAACATGGAGTTAATCGTTTATGAGATATCGGTGATTTGTATCAGGTAGGGGGGACTTAAATATTGTTTAGGGTTACTTTTCGGAAAAAACATTATGCCTAATTAGGTAGCTATTGCCCTTTCAAACATAAATTTGACTGTCCTATAGGCGGTTTGTTCAATCTAATGAAAAGATTAAAAGCTTTACAGAAGCGAACAGGTATATGTTCTATTAATACTGGGTTGAGCATAGGGATGGCGATTCTTTCCAAAAAAGATCGATTTTTAAATCGATTCGAATCAAGGTCTAATAAATCGATCCACAAAAAAATCGAGGTGAAAAGAATCGATTTTGCAAAAATCGGTCTTTTTCGATTCGCATATTGAGTCTATGTTTTTAATACTGTTTTTAATACATATTTACGAGTATTTACTTAGAAATAAACTAATGCTTTCAATTCAAACAACTTGCATGAAAGGCGAGTGATCTGACAATGGCATTTAGCGTAGTGAACTTAAATTGAAAGCATGTATGTCGATGATAGCAAGAAGGGATTACTTACCTTCAATTCAATTACTTATTACTCTCAAGCACAAAAATGTCAGTATTTATTTTTACGTTGTTTTGTCTTTGTCAGGACAGGCAAAGGGAGCTGACTGACCATAGAGTATAGTAAATATACCAAAAGGTCCTGACTATGACTGTTTTTTTTTAAATTACTTTTATCTATTGTTAAAGGGCAAAGGACATTAAGTACACATCCATCTATCGAGTTTTTGAGTAAGTTTTTGAGTGAGTTCATCCATCTGTCGAAACAGAAAAATCGAATCTCGATTTTAGAGGGTGAAATATCGATTCAATGGATCGATTCAGTACACAAGATCGATTTAAAAAATCGATTTTTTTGGTCTAAAAAATCGATTCTTCGATTAATCGATTTCAGATCGCCATCTCTAGTTGAGCAGATATGCCGAGTACATGTCTCCAATAAGGTTTTTTTAATAATATTGTTGTGTTTTAATATTTGTTTTAACTTATTATGAAATAACTTGTACAATTTTGACTGAACTGATAATTATTAAAAAACTAATGTACCTAATCTGAAACTCGTCAATTATTTGTAAATTACATTTACGAATAATAATTGCATGCCTTGGATTGGCGGAACATGCTGAACTGCGCATTCATCTAACATCTTGCAATGCATCTAAATGTACTGTGTTTGGCAATAAAGATATATGAATTTGAAAATTTGAATAATATATTTACAGTATTAAAAATTGTAGTATGAACGAACACGAGACTTGAAAAACCTGTGCAAAATACATTCACCACTCAATTAGTATGCAGACACAACAATGCCAAGACAGTACACGCCGATTTTTCCGAACCAAAACAGCGCCAACAGACTATTGACTTTTAAAATGTTTCTCGAACAAAACAATAGAAATATCGTATTATTTTAACTTCGAAAATGGTATAACAGGTCCAAAAACAGATCTTCATAAAAGTATGCATGGAAAACAATGGAAGTAAACTAGATGGCAGCTGTGACAATAGTGGGATGGTAGCAGACGGGCACGAGCGCTCCGCACCGCGTCCGCAGAGCAACTGATCAAATATATTTTTTGAAATAACGTTCGATTCGCAACGGAACAGGTGGACAGTCACTACGCTGTCTATGGACCAAGTCTTTTGTTATGCTAATCATGTTTAAGCGAATATTTTTGGTATTGTATAAGATGATGGAGTCAGGAGGTTTCAAAATTGCGTGACGTCAAGGTACGAAAGCTGGTAAAAATCCACCAGTTACTTTATGAATCCTATTACATCCTATTATCTGGTCCAGTACACGTCTGGTTGGTTGAGCTTCTAGACTTTGCAAATATAGAAAAATTAGAACCGAAAACAAAAACTGAAAGTTACGTAGCCCCCAAAAAACGAAACACGACACCTAAAAGTCATAAATCACACTTTAAATATAAAAAAGTTTCCGATACCTTTCAGCAGTTCGCAGCGGAGGTTACGTGATAAACCCATAAAATGGTACGATCGAACTTAGCGCCTCGTAAACTTAGGTTTAGGCACATCGGTAGCGTGAAGCTGTTAAATGCTATTTGCTGGCTAATACGCCACCTGGGGCGCGCGATACTGGTTCGAAGCTAAAAACCTGCTAGTTGCTGCAGCTTAACTGGGCAGCTTTAATAGTAACTGGACATTGGTTGTTAGGTTAGAGGATCGCTGTGGTGAGTGTGGTGTTGTTTGGTTGCTGTTAGTAATGGAAATTACACAAATTTTCATGTCGAATCAGATCAATTTTATGGTCTATAGCTAAGTCTAGAGATAGGAGGCTGAAAAGTGATATTGTCACTTTTTTCCTATGACCATATGGATATAACTGCGCGTGACAACTAGTAGTACCTACATATAACAAAGCTAGTTATAAAATGCCTGTTTTCTAAAGGCTCTTTATAGTATGAAGTGTATTTCATTTGTTATGTGTCTGCATTTATGTGCAGCGCGACAGTAACACGTTACAATTATCACCTATTCCTTTTTATTTAATAGGATATTGTTATATACGTCGTGTTGCGGCGTAGAGCGTGGGTGCGAGACCTACCAACGGCAAGTACCAATATGACGTTTTCCAAGATATATGTACTTTCTAAGATTATTTAGAGTACCAATGATAAGCGGTGAAGGAAAACATCGTGAGGAAACCTGGGCTTATAATTTCTAATTATAAGTTTGAAATCGCCAACCCGCATTGAGCAAGCGTGGTGATTAATGCTCAAATATAATCCACGTGAGAAGAGGCGTTTGGTTTGCAGTGCCCACTTATAGGCTGTTGATGTTGATGAAGATGAAGATGAGGATATTAGTAACATATCTGACGTGATAGGTAGACACTTTCCCTATAAAAGTCAACCAGTTGTAGGTCATGGGAACTTTTCAAGGGAATCATGTGGAGTTAGTTGTTATATTAGTCAAGGAATTACATTGGTAATGTCGTGCAGACACGCAATGGTAGCGATCTTTATGTGGTTCGTCTATTTGTGTCTGTCTTCTGTCGTTTGTCACTTTATAAAGAGTTAGTAAAGTTTCTATAATGTTTTGTTATCAGTCACGAGTTAATCAAAAGTTAAAGCATTTATTTGGACTAAATTGCCAAGAAATAAGTAAAATAACTATGGTTCAGGTTTATAGGATTTGGAATTGCTGACCTTGTTACATAATATAGTAGGTAATTTTACCATTCGATACTTTATCCAAAATAAATTGGAAGAAATATAGATTATTGATATCAAGTGAATTTCAGTTCACTTTGTGTCAAATAATTCGGTACAAAGCTCTTTAC